GCTCCCAAGGGAGCTGATAGGGCTACCATCAGTGACGGTGATCAAGGAAAGATTGGACAAGCACATGCTAGATAGTACATGAGAAGAGCTGGCTGGAGCCTGTATTAGGATGAGATGGCAAAGGTGACATTTTCTGATACACTAAGTTTCTATAGTTTATCTTGATATAATCAAATCAAATGCCAAAGTTTCCCCTGCTATTCTGATCAGCTAACTGATGAGGAGAGCTTACTGAAGGTCTCAGTTCTGGGCCCAGGGCTGTTCAACATTTTCTCAATGTCTGAAACCAGAAGGTGAAGGGAATGCTTATTAAATTTGCAAATCACTCAAACCTGGGCAGGAGAGTTAGCACTAAAGAAGATGGAGAAATGTCAATGTGATTTCAATAGCTTGGAGACCTGCACTGAAAGCAAGTGAATGAAATTAAGCAAAGATACAATATAGACCAATTCTGCACCTAGGAAAAAGAAACCAAAAGCAGAGTTTCCAGATGGGAGTTTCTTTACAAAGCAGTGCTAAAAATGAGAAAGGTCTGGGAAATGAATGCAAAAGAATTCCTGCTGCATCAGATGCTCTGCATTGTTTTTGCTGTCAGATGCTCCTTTGTATTCAGATCAGGCCTCAGGAGGATAATGTAGCACTTGGGGAGGAAGAGGCAGCCCAGCAGCCCAGCACTGGAGGCCAAGATGGAGAAGACCTGCACGGCCACCATGTTCTTGCCCCTGGTGCTCAGGTAGGTGAGCACGAAGGACACCCAGACGCTGCAGAAGACCAGCATGCTGAAGGTGATCAGCTTGGCCTCGTTGAAGGCCCCAGGCAGCTTTCTGGCCAGGAAGGCCACTGTGAAGCAGATGGCAGCCAGGAAGCCCAAGTAGGCAAGGGCAGTGTAGAACATGGTCACAGAGCCTTCGTTGCACTTCAGGATGATCTGTGCAGCCTGGCAGTGCATGTCAGAGTCAGGAAAGGGTGGAGAGGTGGCCAGCCAGATGGTGCAGAAGAGAACCTGGACACTGCAACAAGAGATGACAATGGAACTCGCCAAACTCCTCCCCAGCCATCCTCTAACCCGGCTGCCTGGCTTGGTTGCCAGGAAGGCAAGCACCACGGTGATGGTTTTGGCCAGGAGAGAAGAGACAGCCACTGACAAGATGATGCTGAAGGCTGTTTGGCGGAGGAGGCAGGTCGTTTCTCTTGGCTGTCCAATGAAGAGGAATGAGGACAGGAAGGAGAGCAGGATGGAGACAAGGAGAATGTAGGAGAGGTTCCGGTTGTTGGCCTTGACTATTGGGGTTTTGAGGAATTTAATGAAGATTCCCAGCACAAATCCTGTGGTGATGCTTAAGAATAGGGCAAAACAAGCCAGGATGATCCCCAGAGGTTCTACGTAGGAGAGGAAGGTGATGTCCTTGGCTCTGCATCCATCCTGGTCCTCGTCTGGGTGCTGATCTTCTGGGCACTTGCTGCACTGCTCTGCATCTGCACAGAATAGAAGTGACACCTCCCTGACACATTCATGAGTGCCTTGAGCAGGGAGGGCTCTCTGCTTTTGGGGAAGCAATTTCTTTTCATTCTTGTACATCTGCCAGAGTGGAAAGACTGGTTGCCAAGTCCTTGATTAGCTCGGACCCCTATGGTTCTCAGCCTGCACCCCACAAAACCTTCCATGGGTCCCATCTCTGACCCCTGAGGGCAGCTGTGCAAATCTTTCCATACTGGTCCTGGTGCAGGTGAGGGGAGGGGCCAAGTGATCAGAGCCTCTGGGCCTTCCCAGCAGCATCCAGCGGCCAAAGGATCAGGTCTTGCAGGTCACATGCGATGCTGATCGTGCTGCCACTGCTGAGATAACTTTGGCTGCTGGGCGGGAAGGAGAGGGAAGGGGAGAACTTTACCTCTCTTGCAAGACCTTTTTTCATTTTTTGGTCTATTATGTTGCTGTGTACCACCAAAGAGCCTTTCTACAGAGCAGCTGAAAAATGGAGAGAATAAAGTAAACCTTTTCCCAGCTGGCCCTGGTCACTTCAGCAATGGTGGTAGTAAAAGAATGTGCCAGGGCTGCTTTAGGGAATATGATGGGCTCTGCTTTCACCCTTTCCTTCCCGGCAGTTCTCTCCCCCTTGCAGTCAACCCCTTTCTCTGCCTTTCACACGTGGGCTCTGCCCTCCACTCTCTGAGAATTCAGGCACTGTCTGCTGCTTAGAAGGACCTGTCTCTACACTCTTTCTAGCAGGACAAAATGTGCAATTCCTGGACGGGCACAGCAGTGCATGGCCACTGCTGCTGTGAGCACTGCAATCAGGACCTCAGGAAGAGATCCCCATGTGGAGAAGCACAGGGAGAACCTGCCAAGGACAGTCTAGCTGGAGCTGGAGTGCTGCTGCGATAACTGCTATCATGGAGTAAGCAAAGGATACTTGAGTGGGGATGCAATGGAGAAAGCCTTCAGAGGATGCTTTGGGTGGAGCTGCTCCCTCTCTGCAGTGGCTGCCTTCTCACCTTCCGAGACAGAGAAGGTCCCTTCAGGGCAGGGGGTGCAGGCGTAGCAGCAGACAGGCTCTCCTTCCTGAACCACCTTGACAGATCCCGGGCGACAGCTCTCCACACACCTGGAGAGGGGAAGGGGCTGAGTGGGAAGACAAGAGCCACTGAAACGGTCTCTTTTGGCAAATTTAGCTATTTGAATTAGACAGTTGGATAGGAAACCATGCTGTCCAGCCAAAGATTTTGCAGGGCCTTTTCCCCATTGCAAACCCCTCCCAATGTCTGTGAAAAGATCCAGAAGGAGTTGGAGCTGGAAGGGGTAGGTAGTTCTCTATATCTTTTCCGAGAAAGCAGGTCTCGGTCCTTCCCAAGAATCAATACCTTCGCAGGGCTTCTTGTTCCCTCATCCCTATCCTTGCACACTGACCTGCAGCCCCTTCAGGAATGGAGTCTGCAGGTTACACATCATTGCTCTCAATGCATCCTCACGGGCATTCTGAGGGAGAGCTAAATCTGGCCTGTTGCCTGGGAAATGCTCAGCACTATGACAAGCTTCCCCCACCTTGTTGATCCGTTTGGGCCACTCAGCAGCGTCCTTGTTGATCGTGAGTGTGAGGTCTCCCGATCCACGTCTTTTCAAGTTCCCAAGTTTCTTATGGAAGATGGACAAATTGGGAAACACCACCCAGTACACAATGTCTAAGTCAGCAACCAGCTCCCCATTCTTGTCCCAGTATGCACCATCGATGATGGAAGCATTATAAAACTGGATGTCCCTCAGGAATCGGTGCAGCTAAAATGGCAGAAGAAGCACCTCCACTTAGTACGAAGGAAAGAGTGTTCAGCTCTTGGCTCACCCTCCACTCTCTTCATGTCCTGGCCATGTGAGACTCACGCTTTGCTGGAATCTTCACCACCTTCACGTGGGCATCACCAGATCACCAAGCTGATTCTAAGTGGAAGGCACTCCCAGCACACTAACTGGGTTGGTTCCAGCTAGCCAAGTGCTCAAACAAGTCACAATGCAAATAGAGCCCTATACTGGGAGCTCACCATGCAGCAATGCAGGGTGCACTGCTCCACACTCTCTCTCGGTGATGGGGGTGACATAAATGCAAGCAGAGGCCACAGACCCCACATGTGTTCAGACTCGAAGGGACCAAGCAGAGACCTGGGGGACAGGTTCCCGAGTGGAAGCCCGGGAAGGAGGCAGGGAGGAGAGGGCACAGAGGCAAGAGGGCAGCCTCCAGTGGGAGACCCAAGAGTGTGAGTATTGAAGAAAAGACCTGCTTGATTGGAGCATAGGCCCAGCTCATGAAGAACCTTTTTTGCACAGTGTAGGGTCAGCTCCATGGGATGCCTCAACCGGGATGTGCATGTGATCTCCCTTACCAAGATCTTCAGCAAATGGGGTATGCAAGGGCCTGGGGTGAGGTAGGCTGAGCCCCAGACAACCAGTGGAAGGAGTTTTGATATGGGGGCAGGCAAAGCTCCATGCTAGAGCATGGCTTTCCTTAGACAACACTGTCAGTTGTGACACCCAACATCTCCAATGATTTGGTGAAGATACCTGCTCATTCCTCATTGTCAGATTTGGCCTGTTCTTAATTGGACATTTGTTCTGCTTTTGCATTTTAATTCCAGCAGATGAACACATTTGCACTAGCGTGTGTCAGCACTCATACAAATCAGTGCAAATATGCCGTGAGTAAAAAAGCACTCTGCAACTTCTCCAAATCCACTCAGCTCAGATCCATTGAAAATCACATTCATTTGACTGAGAGAATCATGGAATGGATGCAGGGGAAGGGGCCTGAGGGCCACTGCCTCAGACCCTCTCAGGGCAGGACTGCGAGTCACGCCATTCCTGGCAGAGGGCTGTCCAGTTGCCTCTTGAATGACTCCAGGCTGGGAGAGCCCACCACATCCCAGGGTCTCTGGCTGCATTATCAAACTTCTCTAACAGGCAGAAAGGTTTTCTATTGTCCAGGCCGCGATCTGGCAACCCATAATTAGAGCCTGTGATTCCTTGTCCTGCACTCTGGGATACCTGAAAAGAGGTTGTGCCCCCTTCTGTACAAGAAATCTGCTGCAGGTCTTTCTACCTTCCTCATGTCCCAGCAGGAAGTGCAGAGGTCCCTGCCTGAAACCAAGAAAGCTGATGCCTGACTTTGTGGACAAAAAGGTTTGGAATGGCAGCTGGTCTCTCCCAAGGAGGCACTTCCAAAGTTTCCAACAGGGCTGCACCAGAAACACACAGCCCTCTGCTCAATGGGACACTGTACCTTCCTCAGACCCCATGTGCAGGATAAGTGTTGCAGGACAGAAGAACTCAGTGCACAAGGTGATCTGCGACATGAAAGGGATACCTGCCAGGGCTGCAGCCTCTGAATGCCTGGCCTGCTCCCATCCTCCTGCATCCCCCTCCTGTATCTGGACTTAGCAGCAGCATCCAGGGCCTGTGCCACGGCCAGCACTATGTTGTAAATGACTTCTCTGTCCAGCGACAAGACATTCTCCATCTGCGCTTGTGAAATGGCCCCCCAATTCTCCGTCTCCCAGCATCTTTTCCGGCCATCCACTGACGAGGCATGCTTTGAAGAAGAACACTGAAAGGCTTTCCCCATCAACTCCTCCAAGAAAAAAGCAGTGTGCAAAATGAAGCGGTCAATTGCTTTCCCTTCATTTTTCTGGATAAGGAAGGAAAGTATGCCATGGATTTTTTGTGCAGGTCCACGAGTCAACAGTTCGAAGGACAAGTCCCACACAGCGGTTGCAATCCACACATTCCCTTTCGTGTATTCACTAAGGGAACCACCAAAAACTTGTAATATACCAATGCCCTCTATGAGGGAAGTAGTCTCTGCACAATAAACAAAATTGTTGGCTTTTCCTGAGGAGTGAAACCAGGCCCTATGGATCTTCTCATTCATTGTATTCAAGCCTGAGATATATTGTGTGAAAACCACACACACTCCGCTCCTGGTGAACTCTGCGGTCAAGGCTCTCATGCAGCTCCCACCGATATCGTTGTCTGCCGCAGCCAGGCCCACCAATGTCCACCGGAAATGCAGAAGCAGCTGGGTGATCCCCTGGTACTGGGTTGGCTCCTTGGGAACCATTGGGGGAACTGGGTCTTATCATTCAGGGTATGAGAAAGAAAAGTATGGCTGACCTGGTGGGGGAAAAAGACAACAGAGCTGCGTTTTGCCTCCGATCTGAGCTGAATTCTTGCTCATCCCCATTTTAAGGTTGTAAAAATTATGGGTCATTTCTGCAAGTTGTGGTGTATGTTCCCCAGCTGAAGAATGTGCTTGCTGTGTGCCCAAGTGCTGTTCCTTGCAGAACCACTTTTGCTGTGGGATGACTGGGCAATTCTACCTGTTCACCCCTCCCTATTTCCCCTGGATTGCAGAGATTTAAAAAAGGGCCAAGGCTGCAGCCCAAATGACATTTGGACAGTTGTAACTCCTGAGGAGCTGCCTACATTTTGGCAAGGCCTTTTGGAGAGGCCTTTGGCAAGGAGAGACAAGGGCATTTTCAGACTTTTCCAAATGACTACAGCCACCTCAAAATGATGTCAGTGAACTCACTGCTGAGGCACCTGGCTGCTTCTTCAGCACCCCGAGAAATGGCAAAGTGGCCCAGTACTCAGCCCCCAAATGCCCATCCCTATCCATCCCCACCTGTGGAGTTTTGTAGAGCTCCATCATGCTGGAAATCTGCCTGGAGATGTCTGAGTCGGCCCCCTCAAGAACAGCCAGAGGGAGAGTCTGCCCCCCACAGCTGTAGTTGGGCACATTTGCCTGCCCCGGAGAGAAAAGGTCCAGCAGGGCGTCCGAGGTCAACCTTGCATCAAAAAAGTTGTCATGCATGCTGTAACCCAGGGAGAGGTTGGGGAGGAGCCTGCGGTTCTGGTTGACCTCTCGAACAGCAAACAGGTAGGACAAGATATTCCCAAAGAATAGTGGAAGTGTCCTGTAGTAATATACCATGTGAGGAATGTATTCAGATTTGAGACTTTTCAGCCCAGAAAAATGGTGATGAAGGGAATGGTCATAAAACTAGCACTGGAAGGGTTTTTCAAGGAAGCCCATATGTGGGGGATTCAGGAGAGTGTTTTCCCGGTGGCACCCACTAGCAGGACCCACATTCCACTGCACCTCCTTCCCAAATCCTGGTAAGTGGCAGATGCAGGCACACTGATGTTTGTCCTGGATCCTTATCCTGAGGAAGGAACTGTGCCAACCAGAAGCTTCCTGTGCATGACCCCATGGCAGGAACAAAGGATTGGCCAGTTGTGCACAACTTCTCTTCCCAAAGGGATGCCCACCAGCTGCAGCACTTCATGCAGCAAAATTGGTGAGGATCTGGGCCAGGATGGGCACCAGCATTTTACCAAGGGATCTATCCAGATCCTGGGACATTCAAGGAGATGTGCATATTTCTGGGGAAATGAACTAGGCAGAAAGCAGAGCATTCAGTCACCACTTTATGGCTTACCAGGAATGAACCTTGTGGGCTGGAGGTTTGTTGAATAGTTCCTTTTCCCAAAAGTGCAGAAATGTTGAAGAGAGGACGACACCAATCAGGGGGTTCCCTGGCCTGTGATAGCTGGAAGGGTCGGCTGTGACCCTGCCCAAGGTCAGGGGACACCTGGCCACCTGCCTCCCGCAGGTTTCCTGAGGCTGCAGCAGCAGCAGAAGCAGCAGCGGCAGCGGAAACTGCAGGGTCATCATGGTTCGAAGGGGATGGGGCAAGGAAGCTGCACATGTATGCCAAGACGCAATCCAAGCCAGGGTTTTACATTGTCACCCTCCAGGCTCATGCGCACATTGACGTCCATCCCTTCTGCTTCAGAATCCCTTCTTTGTGTCAAAGGTCCCTGGGGAAATCGCTTGAGTCTGGCAACTGGAGGAAGCATCGATCCCCAGGGTTGAGATAATTGCCTGGAAAGGCACCTTGACTGAGAAATTCCCCAGCTCCTTAGGCAGCTTTGTGCATAGCCAGAGAAACAAGCTGGTGCAAGTTCCCTTCTGTGGCTCCCACTTACCAGGGTGGCAGGTGTTTGTGGGAAGGCAATTTCACCAGAGGTTTTCCAGGACGTGCTTCAGGAAATGCACCTTCAAGGGTTTGAGGGGTCAGGGCAGCCGAGGCTTCAGGGAACTGGTTCCATGGGGAAGGGCCCTGAATGCGCAACATAGCACACCTTTCAAATGTGTTGGCCTGCAAGTCCCACCATGCCCAGTCCATGTGGTTGCCGGTCCATCCAGAAGAGCTGCAGTAGACTGGCTTCTGTGCTTCTGGAGGCCCACCTGTACCCTGCTCAGAGATCTTCCTGCTGGAGCTCCTGGGGTTGTGCGAGAGAGGGGGAAGGCTTGCTTTCCCCTACACCAGAGTGGGCAATGCCTTGGGGCTCAGTGGGCTTTTGCACCCTCCCTGTTTTTGTTTTAATCACACCATTCAGTTCAAAAAATTGCCAAGGAGCAGTCCACTCCCTGATTTCCTGCTCAATCACCTCTAGATGGCACTGTGGAGAGGGGGAAACCCACCAGTCAGCATCAAGGGTTTTTTGCATAAGAAATGTAAAGCTGCATTTTAAATCTCAAAGGGGTGCTAAACGTGCTGGTCTCCAAAAGGCCACTTGTGTGCCAAAGGACCATTTCATGGATTGGGAAAGGGAGGGACACGCTGTGATCCGCATGGAGCTCTCAGCCCCTCCTGGCTGTGTCTGAGCTCCTTGAGATGTTGCGTGGTAGAAAAGGTTTTGAGCAGGTGAAACTCTCCCTGGCTGCCACTCCTCCAAATTAGTGCTCTCTAGCTGAGGGACTGCAATCCCCATCATCATGCTGGCCTGGAATGCTGGGAGTCTGAGCCCAGCACACCTGAAGGGCTCCCGTGGGTTCAGCAGGACACTGACCTATGTATCAGGATTTAGGAAATGGGCTGCTGACTTGCAGGCAGAAGCACCATGATTTGGGCTGCCAGGCTGCAGCACAATGGTCAGTCCTTCCAGTGCCTTGGGCCCCCAGGCTGGATTCTGCCCAGAGATGTCTCCTGACTGCCTTGCCTCTTTCTGGCTTGAGAGATCAGCCCCATTCAGGATGCAGCTTTTGCGCTCTTGTATATCTGTTAAGTTCCATGCTTTTGATTTTAATAGTGTTGCCAGTGAAAACACTGGATACAAATAAATGAACAAACCAACGAACAAATGAAAAAGTCCAGATGGGATAACCCTTCCTGCATCTGAGGGAGCCAGCTCCATCCAAAAAAGTTCCAATGCCATAAATTGGCAGATCCCCAAAGTGCTCCACGGTGCTGGGAGTTTCCTGTCGCAGGAGATTGGTAGGGCTTTGCCCCTGTACAGGGTTGTTGTGCAGTGGTTCATACACTCCCTGGTGCCTTTGGAGAGGTTGGGATGAGGAGAGAGCAAAAGGGCATGAGAGCTGCAGAGATACAAGGGCTGGCCAGTGCTCATCTCTCCCAGAGTGTGGTGGAGGCACTAAGGGACTTACCTTAGGTCAGCTGGCGAGTTTCAGGTGGGCAGAGGCAAGAGTCAGGTATGGGGCTTCCTGCTCACGGCTCTGTCCTTCAGCCACTCTGCCCAGAGGGGGACTCAAATTCCTTGAGCCAGGACAAGACCCTTAGAAGGGCCTTATCTGAGTGATTACAGAGGGGGAAGAGAAGCTGTGGGGTGCATGAGCTGAAGAAAGGCAGTAGAGGAGAAAGTTTCTGCTGGAGAAAAGGGGCAGAGGAGGAGTTCTGCCATCCCCCACACCGGGTACCTCTCGTGCCACCCGATTCTTAAAAGCCCTTCCTCCCTCTTCAGGTAGAAGGTGAGTCCCAGGGCCATGAAGACCACACCAAGGGTGGCCCCCACGACCCCCAACCACACTTTGCTCTGAGCACAGTCTGGCCTCAGTGGTTCTATGGAAAGAGGAAGGGGTCCCTGCATGAGCAGAAGGTTTGGGGACAGGTTTGGTTCCAAGCTCCAGGTTTTGAGAAGGGGGTTTGTCTCAAGCTCTACACACAGGGAGAATCTTATCCCACTCCCAAATCTGCCCCTTCAAGGCCTTACAGAGGTAGCAGACTGCAGGTGGCTTCATCCAGAGCAGCCCAGGGAGAAGGCAGGACTGAGCAGGAGAAACGCATACTTAAGATCATACTGTAGGGCAGAGGCGAGACCAACCACAGGCTTCCAGAAAATCTACAGATTGTTTTCTAGGTTCTGAGTCACATGTCATAACAACTGGTCAGGTGATCACTGGGTCTCTTCAGCCTGGAGCAGAGGAGACTTAGAGGGGATATGGTGGCATCATACAGGTATGTGAGGGTATGTTACATGGAGATGGGTAGCGACCTGTTCTCCCCTGCAGAGGAAGGCAGGACGCACTCCAACGGAACAAAGCTCAGGGAACCAAGGTTCCATTTAGATGCCAGGAAGCACTTCCTGACAGTTAGGACCCCAAGGGTGTGGAATAGGCTTCCACGAGAGCTCATTGAGGCCCCATCAGTGAGGGTG